ATACTGTAAATCTGTCATTTCTGTTTTACTAATCAGTATTTCTAGAAAGAAACTTTTCTCACCTACTGTTTGGTTACTTAGTGGTATGGTTTAGTTAGGAAAATCGGATAAAAGATTCTTCTCTTGTAAGATATTGAGTTTTTGTCTATCGTAATGGTTAATGTGTCTTGTGGCCAGCTTTTTTTACCTTTATGCATTCGCATGGATTTTAGTGTATGTGATACTTTAATCCTTTGCTGAATCCTAAATTGTCCTGACTTTGGCCAGTGAGAGCCTCTTTCAGCTGACGACAGAGTAATTTTGCAATAACTGTTCTAGAAAGCTGCCATGCTGTCTAGGACGACAGGGTGTGTCACAGGCTTGCCTTGTGTGTTTACTGTTCAGACCTTACATCAGCTGTTTATTCAAGGAGCACTGATTTCACTCAGTTCAAAATTGATTTTAAAGAACATAGTGTGGACATGAAGCCTACAAAGTGTTGCTGGGCTGGGTATTGTATTGATATTTCTAATTGATATTCAGCACTACAAGACTTTTTCCTTGGGGCTGGCACTGTGGCACAGCGGGTTAATGCCCTGGCCTGAAGCGCGGGCATCCCATATGGGCACCGGTTTGGGACCTGGCTGCTCTACTTCCCATCCAGCTCTCTGCTATGGCCTGGGAAAGCAGTGGAAGGTGGCCCAAGTCCTTGGGCCCCTGCACCCGCGTGGGAGACCCAGAGGAAGCTCTTGGCTCCTGGCTTCGGATCAGCGCAGCTCCAGCCACTGCAGCCAGTTGGGGAGTGAACCAGCGGATGGAAGACCTCTCTCTCTCTCTCTCTCTCACTCTGCCTCTCCTCTCTCTGTGTAACTTTGACTTTCAAATAAAAAATAAAATAAAAAAAGAATTTTTCATCAAGCCCCTCTGTATTAGTCTCTGTTTCCTTTCTTCCAAGCTGAGCATCCAGGTTGTCAAGGACAAAGAGGGTGATAGCAGTAGAATCTCCCTTAATCACTTTGTTGCTCTTCTCACATTAACATGCAATAATAGCCTCAGACCTGCAGAGCATATGAGCATTGCATACTATTTTAATCCTCATTTGCTTTGTTATATTTGTATTTCTATAATACATATTTGTTGTATTTGTTTATGAAATAGTTTACAACTATTTATAAACTACATGTTTAATATTTACCACCAGTTCTTATGTTGATGCCTCAATCTCTCTAGTCAGCTTTGTGAAACTGTCTCTTTCTCGTTTTTAGCAGGTTGTTTAGGAAGGACTACTGGGAATTATAATCTCTAAATTTTTGCATGTAAGAGTTTGTGGCCTTAATAATTGAACATTAGTTTGTATATAAAATCTTTGTCAACTTTTTTAGCATATTTTCAGCATATTCTTTTTCTTCTGCCATGAAGTATTCAAGTCAAAGTATATGATAAGCAAATATCTTTTCTTGTAAGTTACTTAATTTTATCTAGATGCCAGCCTGGCTAAGTTGTGGCTATTGCAGTAGGTTGTTTGGAGAGATGGAGGATATGGTTCTGTCTCTCTGACTTTCAAATGAGATGAAAATAAGAATTTTACAGTTAAAATAGTTTTAATTGACACATAGTAATCGTACATATTCATGGTTGAATTGTAGTTCTTGATAATTGTTCTTTTTCTATGTTTTCTTATTTTCTTTACAGACTCCTATTATCTATATCCTCTCTACTTATCTTCAAGATTTGTCACTTTATCTTGAATGCTTGTTTTTCTTCATTTCTTTTCTTTTTTTTTTTTTTTGGACAGGCAGTGGACAGTGAGAGAGAGAGAGACAGAGAGAAAGGTCTTCCTTTGCCATTGGTTCACCCTCCAATGGCCGCCGCGGCCAGCGCACCACGCTGATCCAATGGCAAGAGCCAGGTGCTTCTCCTGGTCTCCCATGGGGTGCAGGGCCCAAGCACCTGGGCCATCCTCCACTGCACTCCCGGGCCATAGCAGAGGGCTGGCCTGGAAGAGGGGCAACCGGGACAGAATCCGGCGCCCCGACCGGGACTAGAACCTGGTGTGCTGGCGCCACAAGGCGGAGGATTAGCCTAGTGAGCCGTGTCGCCGGCCTGTTTTTCTTCATTTCTTTTATGATTAAAAAAAACTTTCCTGGGGCCGGCGCTGAGGCTCAATTGCTTAATCCTCCGCCTGCGGCGCGGGCATCCCATATGGGCGCCGGATTCTAGTCCCAGTTGCCCCTCTTCCAGTCCAGCTCTCTGCTGTGGCCCCGGAGGGCAGTGGAGGATGGCCCAAGTGATTGGGCCCCTGCACCCTCATGGGAGACCAGGAGGAGACCTGGCTCCTGGCTTCGGATCAGTGTAGCGCTGGCCGTAGCGGCCATTTGGGGAGTGAACCAACAGAAGGAAGACCTTTCTCTCTTTCTCTCTCACTAACTGTATCTGTCAAATATTAAAAACAAACATAGATTATATATTTTATGTTTAGTCATACTTGTGAAATTCTTCCTAGTTTAATCTCTGCTGTGATTTTTTTCTTGATTTCTTTTACCTAAGTTGTAAACTTTTCTTTTCCAATTCTATCATATCTCTCGTGCCATTTTCATAGTATCTTTAAGCTTGCTTTCAAATATTAAGTTTTCAGACCTACTTTGCTTATAAGATGTTATTTTATTTATTATCCCTCCTCCCCAGCTATATATGACATTTGGCCTCAATCATTTTTGTGTGTGTGTGTGTGAAATTATTTTTTCCGAACATTTAGAAGGCTTTGGTTAATGATATTTCTAACTTTGTAGAGTTTCTTTTTCTCTTTGCAGATAGTGTTCATACATTTAGCGGTTTGATTTCTGAGCTTTCCTAGCTTTGCTTCCCTCTTCTTTTCTTCCTCCATCTCCATTATGCTTCTTCTATCCTCTTCTGTGTTTATAGCAGTTTCTCCTCAGTTTGGGGCCTTTCCTGACTTTATCAGTTTGAAGGTTTTATAGAGGCTAAATTGTTCCATTTCCAGTTCTCATGTAGGTTTCTTTTATTCATTTGTTTTTTGATTGGGGAAAAGCACTTGCAGCGGCCAGCGTTTGTGGCGCACTGAGTTACGCTGTCACTTGCAATACTGGCATCATATATGACCACCGATTTGAGATCCTGCTGTTCCATTTCCAATCCAGCTCCCTGCTAATGTGCCTGGGAAAACAGTGGATGATGGCCTGCGTACTTGGGCCCCTGCTACCCATGTGGGAGACCTCAGTGTAGTTCAGGTTCCTGGCCCAGCCCTGGCTGTTGCAGCCATTTGGGAGAGTGAACCAGTAGATAGAAGATTTGTCTCTCTTGTCTCTCATTCTCTCTCTCTAACTGCCTTTCAAATATATATATGTATGTATTTTTTTTTAAGAAGAAACTCTATTTCAACTGCAGTTCTCACGTTGCCCCCCTCTACTTTACATTGTTTACCTAATGGCTCTTTCGGTGTTCCACTGCTTTTAAATCCATTAGATACCCAGAGGCCTCTGCTTTTACTGATGAAACCACAGCAAGTCCTTCAGATACCATTGTTTTGTTCTCATTCACTTATGTTTTGGGGTTCTTAGAGATACCCTTGGAGATGACTGGATAATGCAGTTTTATTGTGAATGTTCATTATCTTTAGTTTTGCTAATTGTTCTGTCAGAGCTTTTATAGAATCATTTTATTATTTAAAAATAGTTTGAGCAAAAAAACCATTGTGTGACAGCATATTGAACTATAGATATGCTTCGGTTACTGGTTAGATAATGAGTGGTTAAAAACTGGCTGGAAAATTTTTTACTTGAGGGAGGAAAGTTGGTATTTTAATGATTCAGTAAACATTTGTTGAGTGTTTTTGAGGCAATATGCTAGGGACAAAAAGTACAAAAATTAGCAAAATACACCATATCTAGAAGGAAGTTAATGTTTACAGTCTACTAATTTAATATTTGATTAAAAATGAAATTTGTGTTAGTAAAATTTAAGCTGTTTTCAGATTACTTTAGGAACTCATATAGGCCATTTATTCTACCTGCTTTTTATATCTTGACTTGCTATTTGGAAAGATCTTGAATAATTACGTGCTTGTGAAGTATGCTTTATCTTCATAAAAAACCTAGAAAAATCTGTGTGATCTGTCTTCACAATTGACTAATCCTAAATTGAGAATGACTTTTTGTTGTTGTTGCTAGTCCATTTTAACCTTCTCCCATGAAGAGGCAGTTTGGTGTAGAATTGATTTGAATTAATCAACCATTAGTTTGTTGCTTATTGTGTACTGTGTGATTTTGACCCCAAGATTACTTTTAAAATAGGACTCCCTTTTGTAATAGCTTTCAGTGACCAAATCCTATGTTTTTGCTCTTACCATTTCTATTGATAAGTTTAGCTTATACTATGAAAATTATTTTAGTAGCGTGTTTGGTACTTGGTTAAAATAGATACATCATAAAGTAATTGAAATATGTGAAATATTCATTGAATCAAGAGAGTTTTCTATTATTTTGTCAGGAGCTAAAGATTGAAAAGTTAGGCCTACTAAGACCAATAAGAAATACACTTCCTATTTGTTGTATATATTAAAACCAGCTTCCAGATTCAAGTCTCAGAATGAGCAAAGCTTGTTTATTATTAATAAATAATAGAAGAAACATCCAACCTATAGATTAGGGTTAGTTAGACTTTTATATAGTGACATTTAGGTTTATTAGAAACTTGTGGAATATTTTTTTAAATACTTTCCTTTTATATAGTTAATGATTCTAATCAGCATGATTATATCTGTTGCTTCAAGTGATAGCCCTCATACCATCTTAAAATGATTCAGAGAGACTTTAGGGACTATTTTTGTTGAACAGGGCCTACAGCAGTGCAGTTTGAGGTATTGGCTTAATTAATGGTTCCTTTAGTTTGCCATATTTTTCTTTCATTATACTTTGATCTATATTTATATGTGCTGCGGTTATATAGAATTCAAATTATTGAGAAAGCAGTTTTTAAGACATCTTTGTCTGATCAACTTTCAGGTTCATGCATGGGAAATTTCAGACCAATTGTTACAGATCCGCCAGGATGTGGAATCATGCTATTTTGCTGCACAGACTATGAAAATGAAGATTCAAACCTCATTTTATGAGCTCCCTACAGACTCTCATGCCTCTTTACGAGACTCATTGCTAACCCATATTCAGAACTTGAAAGACTTGTCACCTATCATTGTAACGCAGGTAAATCCTGTGCTTCTGCCTAGGGAAATTTGTAAGCCATTTGGATTTATCAAGTTTATTTTGCTTGATATTGCTGGGCCATATGAAGTAACGTTAACTTTATTACAGACACATTACTGTATTGTAAGTGGATAGAAAGTGTAAATTTTAATCTTTTGTATTTTCAAGTTCATTTGGTTTCAAACTAACATATCAAAATGGGAAAGGTAAGTGTACATTTGAAAGGCATGTTATATGCCCTCTGCTGTTAAAATTGTAGATGGTAAAAATTCTATATCATGCTGGGCAGAGGTATGTGTAGTTTCCTTTTTAAAGAATGTTTCCTGGGTTGGTTGACTGTAAAAACTTCAGGAGTGAAATGATGAGCTAGAACATCTAGCCTTTTCCTTTTAGAGAAAAAATACACTCGAAAGAAAAACTGGAAGTTTTTATGACTACATTTTCACATGTGTTCTCCACCTGGCATATAAGTGCTCTGGTAGAGGAAGCTTTTGCATAAGGCTTTTTAAAGATGAGAAATAAAGAGGAGGAAATGGTGATCCATTACTGGAGGACTAAGTAATGGATCTGAATGTCGGTAGCTCTGGTCTTTTGGCAAAGTAGAATGTATCTGTCTGTGAAGGTCTATGGTGTTGCCAAATAAAATTAAGTGTTGATATTTCCTGGAGAAAAATCTATATTCTTTCTGATTTCTTTTGTCATTGCTGTTTTTTTTTTTTTTTTAATTTTTAAAGGTTATTCCCAGCAATTTATAGCTAATCCAGAAGAGTTATGTATACTAAACCATATGTATATATGGTTGTAGGGGTGAGGGAAAGAGGAGGATATTAGTCTAGTTGCCCTATTGTTTAGAAGACATTTAATTTCTTTGCTTTCCAGTTAACATGGATGGTAACCCTATTTCTGTTCATCTGTTCTATTCATTTGTTTAATCTCTTTTCTTATTCAGCTGGCTTTAGCAATAGCAGACCTTGCCCTACAGATGCCTTCCTGGAAGGGATGTGTACAAACATTGGTGGAAAAGTAAGTAATTCGTACTGACTGTATACCAGCATTTGGAATTACCACTAACCTACACAGGGAAATTTGTTGGCAGTAGTTAGACATTTGACTGTTTCCCGAAACTGTTAGTATATATTCTTAATATTTGTTAGAGTAAGAGAAAATCATTTAAGTTTTACAGATATGTATGTCATGTGGCATATAAAAAGGCTTCATAATTTACACACTCACTCCTCGAATTAAATGAACAGTCTTTTATTGCCTTGTGGCTTATTCCCACTAACTGGAATATCAATAATTTTATAAAAAATATATTCATAGTATTTAGAATTATATTAAAGGTTGTTATGAATATACTTCCTGTCAGGGGACAGTATTATTCTAGGACTGGGATTGTGACATAGCAAGTTAAGCCATCACCTTAATGCTGGAATCTCATATGGGTGCCAGTTCTTGTCGTGGCTGCTCCACTTGTGATCCAGCTCCCTGCTGATGTGTCTGGGAAAGCAGCTGTCCAGGGCCAAGGTTGAAATCGGGTAATGAAATCCAGGTCCTCCACTTGCGTGGAAATAATCTACTTATTCATTAGCAGTACCTACCAGGATCTGCATTAGCAGGAAGCTGGAGTCAGGAGCGAGAGCCAGGAATCGAACCCAGGGAACTCTAGTTTAAGTCTCCACCGCTAGGCCAAATTCCTGCTTCTGATAGTTTATTTTTTTAAGATAATTTTTTTTAGGCAAATACGTAACTTGAAAAAACTTTTCACAGCATGGATACGAGAAAGAGAGAGAGTTTTTTTTTTTGACAGAGTGGACAGTGAGAGAGAGACAGAGAGAAAGGTCTTCCTTTTTTGCCGTTGGTTCACCCTCCAATAGCCGCCGCCACCAGCGCATTGCACTGATCCGAAGGCAGGAGCCAGGTGCTTTTCCTGGTCTCCCATGCAGGTGCAAGGCCCAAGCACTTGGGCCATCCTCCACTGCACTCCCAGGCCATAGCAGAGAGCTGGCCTGGAAGAGGGGCAACCGGGACAGAATCTGGTGCCCCAAATGGAACTAGAACCCGGTGTGCCGGTGCCTCAAGGTGGAGGATTAGCCTGTTGAGCCACGGCACCGGCCAGCATGGAAACTTAAAGTACAACGTGGCACTGGGTGTTTAGCCGAGCAGTTAAAATGCTGACTAAGACTCCTGTGTCCCACATCAGAGAGTGCCTGAATTTTGTTCCTGGCTCTCTTTCCTGACACTAGGACTTGCTAATAGAGACCCATGGAGGCAGTCTTGATAGCTCAAGTAATTGGGTTCCTGCCACCCAAATGGGAAACCAGGATTGATTTCCTGGTTCCTGACTTTGGCCCAGCCCAGCCCAGCCCTAGGTGTTGTGGGCATTTGGGAGTGAACCAGTGGATGAGAGTTCTTTCTCTGTATCTATCTGTTTCTGTCTCTTTCTCAAATTAGTAAATAAAAACTTTAAGGGGCTGGCATTGTGGTGTAGCAGATAAAGCTGTATGTGAAGCTGGCATCCCATATGGGTGCTGTTTTGAGTCCCAGCTGTTCAGCTCTTTGCTAATGGCCTGGGAAAAGCAGCAGAAGATGGCTCAAGTACTTGGACCCTTACACCCATGTGGGAGACCCGGATGAAGCTCTTGCCTCCTAGCTTGACCTGGCCCAGCCCTGGCCATTGGTGGCCATCTAGGGAGTGAACCAGTGGATGGATGTTCAATCTCTTACTCTCCCTCTCCCTTTCCCTCTCCCTCTCCCCCTTCCTGCCTCTCTGTATGTGTGTGTGTGTCTTTCCTTCTTTCTTTGCAACTCTTTGAAATAAATAAATCTTTAAATAAAAACTTTACAAAGAATTAAAATCAAAGTAGATAATGAATGGGGCTGACACTCTGGCCTCAGAATCAGCCCTTAAGGCATTCAGATCTGGCTAAAAAGCCCATGAGAGTTTCTCAGGCATGGAAAGCCAAGAAACTATGGCAAAAAAAAAAAAAAAAAAAAAAAAAAAAAAAAAAAAGAAAGAAATTACCTAAATGAAAGATCTCTGTGAGTGGGATCCCAGTGAAAAGAATGGGCCATCAAAGAAGGAGGTACCTTTCTCTGAAGGGAGGAGAGAACTTTCACTTTGATTATGACCTTGTCCAAGTAAGGTCAGAGTTTGTGAACTCAGGAGGCTTCCATAGCCTTGGCAACTCATGATAAGAGCCCCGGTTGATTACTAACATCATAAATAAGAGTGTCAATTGTTAAATCAACAACAGGAGTCACTGTACACTTATTCCCCATGTAGGATCCCTGTCCTTAATGTGTTGTACAGTGAGAATTAACAGTAAAGCTAGTATTCAAACAGTACTTTATACTTTGTGTGTCTGTGTGGGTGTAACTGTTGAAATCTTTACTTAGTATATACAAAGTTGATCTTCTGTATAAAGATAATTAAAAATGAATCTTAATGAAGAATGGGATGGGAGAGGGAGTAAGAGATGGAATGGTTTGAAGGTAGGAAGGTGGTTATGGGGGGAAAACCGCTATAATCCAAAAGTTGTACTTTCGAAATTTGTATTTATTAAATAAAAGTTAAAAAAAAACTAAGAACAACAAAAAATGAATGGGGCTGACGCTGTGGTGTAGTAGGTAAAGCCACCACTTGCAGCACCATGTGGGTGCTGGTTTGAGTCCTGACTGTTCCATTTCTGATCCAGCTCCCTGCTAATGTGCCTGAGAAAGCAGCAGAAGAAAGTCCTAGTCCTTGGACCCCTGCATCCACGTGGGAGACCTGGCTGAAGCTCCTGGCTTTGGCCTGGCCCAGCTCCAGCCATTGTGGAGCTCTGCCTCTTTGTAACTCTGCCTTTCAAACAAACAAATAAATAAATCTAAAAAAAAAAAAAAAAGTACATAGTAAACACTATGTTTTCTCCTTACTCCTATGTTTTATAAACAACCACTATTCATGATTGGCTATATACTCCTAGACTGTTCTTTAAGAATTTTAAAAATAAAAATAAGTACATATATGGATTGTTTGTTTGTTTGTTTTGACAAGCAGAGTGGACAGTGAGAGAGACAGAGAGTAAGGTCTTCCTTTGCCGTTGGTTCACCCCCCAATGGCTGCTGCGGCTGGCGCACTGCGCTGATCCGAAGGCAGGAGCCAGGTGCTTTTCCTGGTCTCCCATGGGGTGCAGGGCCAAGGACTTGGGCCATCCTCCACTGCACTCCCGGGCCACAGCAGAGAGCTGGCCTGGAAGAGGGGCAACCGGGACAGAATCCGGCGCCCTGACCGGGGCTGGAACTTGGTGTGCCAGCGCCACAGGTGGAGGATTAGCCTAGTCAGCCACAGCACCAGCCCATATATGTTCTAATATACATACACTTGTGCATTTGTTCATTTAATGTTTCATTTACTTTTTTCACTTAATACATCATGGTCTTTTCATTTTATGACATATATAAATTTCATTATAGTGCACTTCATGTTCCATTGTATGACTGTAACCTTTTTAAAAATTTTTTTTCTACTTTTATTTGAAAGGCAGAAGACTGAGATAGCTCTTTCATCCACTGGCCCACTCCCCAAACGTCCACAACAGCTAGGGTTGGGCCAGGTCAAAGCCAAGAGCCTGGAACTCAATCCAGGCTTCCTTTGTGTATGGCAGGGACCCAGTTATTTGTTCTACTTCTAAGGGTGCACGTCAGTAGGGAGCTGGCTCAGGCAGAGGAGCTGGGACTCAAACCAGACCCTCCAAAATGGGATGCTTGTGGGATACTGGTGTCCTAAAAGTGAAACTCCTGGGTCAAAGATTATACAACTTGAAATGTTGATTGGATGATTTTTCATACCTTTCCAAATGATCAATCTGTATTTTTTCTATCCCCCTTAACAGTCATCAGAATGCTGTTTTTGTTGCTATGAATTATTCTGGTGGTTGCTGTGTATTTTCTAGTGAATAACTGATCCATTTTGACCATTTTCTTTTCCAGATACAGCAATGATGTAACTTCTCTGCCTTTTTTGCTGGAGATCCTTACAGTATTACCTGAAGAAGTACATAGTCGTTCCTTACGAATCGGAGCTAACCGGCGCACAGAAATTATAGAAGATTTGGCCTTCTACTCTAGTACAGTAGTATCTCTATTGGTAAGTTTGAAATATCTAGTTGTGCCCTAGGGGCAGAAAGCTTGGTGGTTATTTTGTAATCTAATTGCATGGTTGTGTGTGTCAAAAAGAAAAAGGCATTTTTCTTTCTGCCTTAATTCCACAACAATTCACAGAAGACTTCTGTGATCCTAAAAGGTGTGGGAATTTCTCTGTGCCAGCAAGCAAGCAATTCTTCATCCTTAAGTCACTTTAATTCTGACACTGTCTACCTGGAAACAGCATCAGATTCCATAGGTTGGATGCTCATTCCCCAAGATTGCCACCATATACTCACTTCCCTCTCTCACACCCCTGACTACCATACACATGTTAGATGCCAGTTGCAAGCTTTACGTTGTTTTACCTATACTTCTGACAGGCTGTAAACCTGCTTCCCATAACCCCTTCTTGGGTTGATTAATTTGAGTGATTCACAAAACTCAAGGAAACATTTCTGTTTACTGGTTTATAATAAAGGATATTGGAATGATGCAGATGAAGAGGTGCGCAGGGTGAAGTGTGGAAGAAGAGGTGTGGAGCTTCTGTGCCCGCTCCGGGTACTGCCCTCCAAGAACCTCCACAAGTTTGGATGCCCTTTTGGTTTTATTTTTTAAGATTTATTTTACTTATTTGAAAGAGTTACAGAGAGAGAGAGAGACAGACAGACAGACAGACAGAGAGATCTTCTATCCATTGATTCACTCTCCAAATGGCCGCAGTAACCAGGATTGGGCCAGGCTGAAGCCAGGAGTTAGGCGCTTCTTCGAGGTCTCCCACATGGGTGCAGGACCCAAGCAGTTGGAGCATCTTTTGCTGCTTTTCCCAGGCCATTAGCAGGGAGCTGGGTTGGAAGTAGAGCAGCTGGAATTCAAACTGGTACTGCTTTACTCGATATGCCACAGTGCTGGTCCCCGGCCTTTTTTTTTTTTTTTTTTAAATTTATTTACTTGAAAATCAGAGTTACACAGAGAGAGAAGGAAAGGCAGAGAGAGAGAGAGATATCTTCCATCTTCTGGTTCATTCCCCAGATGGCCGCAACGGCCGGAGCTGTGCCTATCCGAAGCCAGAAGCCAGGAGCTTCTTCCAGGTATCCCACATGGATGCTGCTATCCCAGGCCATAGTATAGAGAGCTGGATCCGAAGAGGAGCAGCCGGGTCTTGAACCGGCACCCATAAGGGATGCCAGCACTTCAGGCCAGGGCGTTAACCCACTGCACCACAGCGCTGGTGCCTGTCCCCCTCTTGGCTTTTTATGGAGACTTGTTGTGTAGGCATGAATGCTGGTAAACTGGATGGGAAGATCCAGGCAGGCCCGTCTCTTCACATTCTTCAGCATTCCTTTCTCTGGTGTTAGGCGTGACCTCTCTGGATGAGGAAGGTATTATGACTATGGCCTGCCTTGCGAAAGAAGATATGAGCAAGGAAACGTAGACAAAAACCCAAAATATATATGTCATAATATCACATTGTAAAATAGCTCAGTTTGCAAAATGTGGTAATAGTAATACTTTGGCATCTATGTAACATTTTACAATTACAAAATACTTCCAACAACTATTCTTGAGCTTCTGTGTAATCCTCTGAGAATGATACTATCTCCAGTTTATGAATGAGAAATAAACTCTAGAATTATGTGTTAGGTAATTTAGAATTTGAATTTCCAATTATGTATTGCATGCTCTTCTAATTTACGCTACTAACTCTTGTTCTTGATGAAGAACCATGGAAGGGAAGTGTGAATAAACTTAACTTTGTTAAAGAACAGATCCTCTCTTAAAGACAAATTCAAATTTTGTTACTGAGGTGATAGAAGACTTTACTTGACCCTTCAGCAATATCACAACTATACATTAGCTAAAAGCACATTATTTTTTGAAGAAATAAATGTGATTGGTCCCTTTCAATTAGTTGGATTTTTTAATGCTTTAGACCAGGGGTAGGGAACGTCCAATCCCCAGGCCACATAAGGCCTATCAAATCATTTGCTCTGATTCTGCCAAGGCATCTGCAGGTAGGACTCAAAATTCAATAAATTTATAGCAGGCTAATTTTTAAGTTGACAATTTTGTATGGCCAAATGTCCCTTGGCAGGTAAAAGGTTCCCCAGGCTTGCGTTTAGACCACGGATGGTTGGGTGAATGTATGGTCTATAGGTTGGTTGCCCATTTTTGCCAGTGAAGTTTTATTGGAACACAGCTATACCCATTTTTTATGTTTTGTCTATGTCTGTTATTTTGAACTACCTTAGCAGAATTGAGTAGTTTCCAAAAGACTATAGGGCTTGCCAAGCCTGAACTATTTACTGTCTACCCCTTTGCTAAAGAAGTCTATTGGTTCCTGACCCAGGTGGTATTAAATTGATTGTACCCATTTTTGGGTCTTACAGTCTGGCTTACTTTTCTCAGTAATGTGGTTGTAATAGATGATTTTTAGAGGTTTGTTTCAGTACTTCTGTAACATCATAAAATTTTTTGTTTAAAAAATAGTTTTGTTAAAATTATGTTCAGTTTGATGTTAGAAATTAATTGTGAAATTATTCTTTTAAGTTAAATGTATGTTTAATTTTTCAGTTGATCATTTTTTTCAAACAATAGTATCATATAGAATTAGAAAATCTAAATAAACAAATTATATTCAAACCATCTGGTGATCATGTTGTTAACCTTGTGATACATATCCTCTGTGAACATATTTTTTTATGAACATATGTACAGATTTTTTTTTTATATATACAGGCAGAGTAGACAGTGAGAGAGAGAGAGACAGAGATAAAGGTCTTCCTTTGTCGTTGGTTCACCCTCCAATGGCCACCGCGGCTGGTGCGCTGCGGCCAGCGCACCATGCTGATCCGAAGGCAGGAGCCAGGTGCTTCTCCTGGTCTCCCATGGGGTGCAGGGCCCAAGCACTTGGGCCATCCTCCACTGCACTCCCAGGCCATAGCAGAGAGCTGGCCTGGAAGAGGGGCAACCGGGACAGAATCCGGTGCCCCGACCAGGACTAGAACCCGATGTGCTGGCGCCTCAAGGTGGAGGATTAGCCTATTGAGCCGCTGCACCGGCTCCAGATTTTTTTTTTTAACCCAAATGAGATTATACTCAACCTACCCTCCTGTATCCTGCCTTTTTGGGCCATCCACCTATGTCTTTACATTTCAGTAAATGTTTGTATCATCTAATAAGTGCCCAGACCATATTCACATTTTCCCAGTTGGCTTAAAAAAATCATTTCTATGGTTTTTTCCAAATCAATATCTAGTCAAGTACCTTGCCTTATATCAGGTTTTTGTTTTAAAATAAACTTTTAATTCCATTTTCCATAAACTTTTTCTATTTATTTTTTTAAAGAGAGGGAGTCAGAGATCTCCTGTCTAGCTGATTCTTTTTTTTAAAGATTTATTTATTTATTTATTTGAAAGTCAGAGTTACACAGAAAGAGGAGAGGTAGAGAGAGAGAGAGGTCTTCCATCTGCTGGTTCACTCCCCCAGATGGCCGCAACGGGTGGAGCTGCACCGATCCGAAGCCAGGAGCTTCCTCTGGGTCTCCCACGCGGGTGCAGGGGCCCAAGGACTTGGGCCATCCTCCACTGCTATCCCGGGCCATAGCAGAGAGCTAGACAGGAAGTGGGGCAGCCGGGTCTCGAACTGGTGCCCACATGGGATGCCACGCTTCAGGCCAGGGCATTAACCCACTGCGCCACAGCATTCATTTCTTAAATACCCGAAACAGCCAGTGTTTTCCCAGCTCAAATCCAGGAGAGCATGACTCCATCTAGGTCTCCCACATGGGTGGTGGGACCCAAATACCCGAACCATCACCTGCTACCTCCCAGGGTGTGTATTAGCAGGAAGCTGGAATGTAGAGCAGAGCCAGGACTTGAACAAGGAAGGCACTCTTATGTGGCATGCGAGTCTCCTACCCACTGTGTCAATTGCCCATCCCTTATATCAGGTTTTCTTTTCTTCTCTTCTCTTTTCTTTTCTTTTTTTTAAGATTTATTTATTTGACAGGCAGAGTGACAAGGGGTGGGGAGGGAGAAAGAGGTCTTCCATCCACTAGTTCATTCCTTAAATGGCCTCAAAGGCCAGGGATCGTTCAGGCTGAAGCCAGGAGCCTGAAACTCCAACCAGGTCCCCCACATGGGTAGCTGGGGCCCAAATACTTGGACCATCTTCTGCTGCTTTCCTGGTTGCATTAGCAGGTAGCTGTTTCAGGAATGGAGCAACCAGGAGTAAACTAGCATTCTAACATGGCATGTCCCATATGGGATGTCAGTATGCAGGCAGCAGCTTAAGCCACTGCACCACAATGCTGGCCCCTGGCCCCTGGTCCCATCCTCTTCCTTTTTCAGAATGACATGATTTGTTGAAGAGATTGGAACTGATGTTTTAGAAAATATCATACATTCTTGATTTTCTGATTGCCTCTTTGTTTAATGCCCAAGGCATCCAAGTATATAATGAATTCTCTGTACTGCATATACCATTCTTAGAATAATTGAGAAAATAGTTATTCAGATCATTTTCTTTAGGATTTAATTTCCCAGAATCCTGATTGAGAAAAAGAGGGACTTTGTAGATTGATTTTTAAAAGTTAAAACATTAGGGGCCGGTGCTGTGGCACAGAGGGTTAAAGCCTTGGCCTGAAGTGCCGGCATCCCATATGGGCGCCGGTTCAAGTCCCAACTGCTCCTCTTCCGATCCAGCTCTCTGCTGTGACCTGGGATAGCAGTAGAAGATGGCGCAAGTCTTCGGGCCCCTGCATCAGTGTGGCATACCTGGGAGAAGCTCCTGGCTTTTGGCTTCGGATCGGCACAGCTCTGGCCATTGCGTCCATCTGGAGAATGAACCAGCAGATGGAAGACCTCTCTCTCTGTCTCTACCTCTCTTTGTAACTCTTTCAAATAAATAAAATAAATCTTAAAAAAAAAAAAAAAAGTTAAACATTAGCATTCATCCTAGGTATGTCATGTTTTGTCTTATCAGAAGATACATGCTTTTCAA